CCGAAACCCGGATAACTTCTGTCCAATTTGCACAACAGCAACGTTTAAGAATTGAGATTGCGCCAAAAATAAAAAAGCAAAATCCTCAATGTCTATGTTGCTTCCATTGGCCTACAACGATAGAAATTGAAGGATTATTGATGCAAATTCTAATTTCTTTTACAAATTTTCACCCTGAATACATTTTAACCCGGTGTAGTGGGAATGATCAAAAGCGGATTAAAAACTGGTCGAAGAAAAGTGCATTTTCATTTTATTCACTTTAGAAGCTTGTAACTTTTAACCCGGTTTTGTTTTAACCCGGGCTAATGGAAAGGCTGCCTAATTTCATCTACAAAGTTTCCATTAAGTAGAGGATTTATAGAAGCCGGTATTTTACCACTGAGATCCCTTTTCATTTTGCGGTTCAAATTGTTTGCTTTGCAACGCACTTGCTTATACGCCCTCATTAGCATATGAGATTTCATTTTCACTGCCTTGACTTGGAGTTTATCTCTCGTTTTGAGGAATTGTTTCAGGGATGGAGTAATCCAAGGACGGAAACGTTCTGTCATTAGCATATTTTACAAGAAGGCTCTCTATTCACGTTTGAAGGGGCGCCAGCCTTGCTTTAAGTCGGTGAGGGAGAGGCAACTGCCCCTAGTTGCTCCCCCTTAAAACCACCACTGATCATGCATCATTTTCAGCAATTCGCACACTTTTTGCTTCATCTGTTTGATTTGCAGAATCTATATTATAGAAGAAGCAAAACTTTACGATGACTTTTGTCGAAATGCTAGCATTCACCCTTGCATTCCCTAATGCCAGTGATGTAATGCAGGTTCGGGCACCTTAGCTTGATAACTAAGGGCCCCCGACCAAAACCGGCCCAAGATGCTTTTACATACAAACTTTTGAATTTTTGGTCAAGTTCAAAAAACTTTCAACAACTTTTTAAGTTCCTCAACTGAAGCTCTTGAACTCAGCTCCACCTAACTAATTAGAAAAACGTCTCATTTTTACATTTGCTATTGTGTTTGACGTGCTCTACATCCTTTGATGGGATCTTCTTGCGGTCTATAAGTAGAGGACCGCGGCAAACTTTTTCTAAGCAGGCGCGGATCTAGACCGGTTGCACAGGCTTTAAAAAACCGGTCAAATTTTAAGAGCTATATTTCTCTGTAAATTTTGAATTTGTGATCTAAAATTTCAAATGCAACAATTGCTGCATTTCTCTCTGACTGACCACAGTTCTTCTTACATACTGAATTGAACCCCCACAAAGTTCCGGCCTCTTTTGTCCCAAAGTATCCGAGGAATTCAAAATCGAGGAAATCAGTTGCCCCTCAAAGTCTCAGTTTGGAGTATGCTATTTATGCGACAATATTGAAACCGGTGCCTATTGTTTTCTGAAAACCTGTGAAAACCGGTGCCCATATGTTTCCCTTATGCGAGAAAAACCGGTGGTTAAAAAGCATATTCGATATCGATATCCATAGCTCGAAAGTGTGGACGCTTTAAAACGAAATGATGCAAAATGAAATACGGATGCAAAAAAGAATCTGAGGTTTTGTATTGAGGGACTAAACTTTCTTTCTCGGAAAAATTCATGAAAATTAGAATCGAAGTTGCAAGAAGAGGATTAAAGGCCATGCTGAACGAAGTAACATTGTGACGTTTGAGATAAAGTGTGGGCAAATTAATGACATTTAATAGTTGGTCAAACAAGTGACCAATAACACACAGGGCTGTAACGGGGTAAAGCACCCAGAAACCGGTCAAAGTTTTGACTAGATCCACGCCTGCCAAGGGCCTTGATGCTTCCTTAATACCATTTCCCAAAGCACACAAAGCATATTGGTAATGTCACTAAATTGTGCATAGATTCTTTCCAAGAAGATAGCCTTTTACCAATTTGTACAACCGCTAAAGACTGAATTCAACAAAAATTTATATTTGTTCGTGCTGACTAAAATAAGATGTTTTGTCAATTATGACAGCATAATAGCTGTTTTCTTTTACTTCCAAAACAGTCCTCTCAAGCACTTTTTGCACTGTTGCTGTTCTTATCGCTTTTTATATTTTCGCACAACAGGTTTCATCAACCTTATCCCATTACTTCTGAAAGCGCTCACGATAACGGCCACTTTACTCATCTCGGAGATTTATAAACATGTTCAAAATGTAGTTCTTCTTATACTTTTTGCGTTTGGAAAAGCCTCCTGCCCGATTTTTGCCCGAAAAAAATCAGCTGACCGAAACTAGGGAGTCTGAAGCCTAAGAAAAAAAGGATGAAAAGCAGAAAATGACCTTTAATGATTAATTTGCTGCTTTTTATCTAGTTGAAAAAGTTACAATTTAAATATTATGAATGACTTGTCAATAGTGTAATCGGTTTACCTCTTGTGTCAATAATTGCTTGGAATGAGATATCAATTGTGATATCAAAATTCATTAATGAAATGTCCTTTTAGATACTAAATTAAAGAGCGTGGTGAGCAGAGATTTCTTCAAGGTCCCACCAAATCACATGACATAGAAATTAATGAACAAACTATACCCTGAAAATCTCTGTGATAAATATATACCACACTCTGACTGCTCTAAAATTCAAACTAGACTCAGTGATGGTATTACGAAGGACAGGATGATACTGAGTTTGCGAAAGGATTTTTTCATTATTCAATGATTGGAATAAAGGACCGTGTGAAATCCGAAAAATACAAAGACTCCGTTGTTTTAAAGACACAATCAAAACATCAAACATCAAACACGACTGTCATCTATTGAACTATCAAACACGTCATCCTGGAAGACCAGCATCATAAGACATTTCATGCAAATTTAGGTTCGTTTCATTTTATCTTTCGTAAGATTATTTATGCATTAATATGTGATTAAAATGGAGCTCTTTTATCACAATGAAAGGAAATGAAAAGCATTTAAGATAGCAGGAAGTCGAGATACTGGATGTTAAATGTATGCCCAAAGATATATCTTAATTGTATTATATTTTGTTGTGAGTTCCCTTGCTGATTCTAATTTTGTTTGAAATATAAGCCTCCTGCCTCTGCGTTACTTTTTTATATTGCAGATTTTTTTGAGATCACTGGTAGAAACACGAAAAAAATACAATATTCTGAATTTCAAAAGTCTTATCCGGGCAGATCTTAACATCAAAACTAATGGAAGAAAAGAAAAAGTTGGAGTTGGTGGGATTACTGAGGCGTTGCAGGCTCACTAATGGGGATAGTTTCTGCCCATCGTCTTCATACTTCCAGATACCTCAAGAGCACAGCACTGCAGATGAACGTTGAAATACTGAAAAACTGGCTGGGCACGAAATTGTTAACAATCTAAGTTTTGGACTATTGCACTCTCCCAGCTGGCGAGCTTACCGAATATATTTGTGGATAATAAGCAATTGCGAAATAGCAAGTAAAAAGCATATTGAATTGCTTCTCGTCCGACACTCTTCGAAGTACGCTTTCGTAGGTGAACTCAAGTAATTATGGCTAGGCAGGTATCGTGTAACTTAAAACCGAGATACTTTAATCCAAAAAAGCCACACCAACATGAAAATGCACTGAAAAAAGTTAATAAATGGGTAAATGGGTAGAGAGGTAAAAAGCTGCTATCAAATGAGAATTCCGGGTCCCGCTTCTCTGCCACCTACAATAAACTGTAAGTTGCTTTGTCACTTACACTTCAAGTAACGCTTCTCAGATTTAAATAAAAGGTTTTACTGCAATCTAAATGTAAAATTTACCATCAAGTTTAAAAAAAAAGATTGTCTATAACAATTTCAGGGGGATGAAGATAAGAACGATTCAAAATAGAAGAATAAGTAACAAAGGTAGTTTTACGCTTCTTTGAAATGAAATCAAAATGCAAGACCCCCAGTTATTATATCATTTTGTTTAATTTACACTTATCCGGGTTTAACTACAGGTACCAGAATGCATTGCACCATGATGTAATTAGGGGAAGGTCTATTGTTTTCAATAACAAGGTGATCAAGAACTTCAGAAGACGGTATGGCAGGGAATTTTAAATACCGAAATTCTAAGAACAAGGCTTGGCGAGTTAGATTATCATTCCCTTGTGGGCATTATCAAGAGAGCACTGATATTAGATGACTTTGTTAACACATATGACAAGGAATGCGATAATTTGCACAGCAACAAATATTTTTTCTCATAAAAAACTGCTACAACTTTTAGGGCCTAATCATATGGGCTCGGTTAACCGGGCTAGCTCGTTTTACCGGGCTAGAATCAGCTCGCTATCATTTGAAAGTCTTTCCCAGCATCTCTGCAGTTCTTAGAATATCATCACGTGATATTCTTAGATTCAGAAATGGCGGGTAAATGAATCAAAATGACGATTTTAAAGATTTGATAAGATTGTCAATCCTCATCTGTCCACTTAAAACTTCTCTTCTCCGCCATTTTGAACAACTGAGTCAAGTGGAATTTATCGGACATGCGCATTGGCACTGAATTAACACCGGCAAGAGCTATCACATGGCAAAATCGTAACCCGCTTTACCGGGATCTCGGCTAAAGGAAGCGAGATGCCGGTTTACAGGGCTAGCCCGCTTGTCATATGATAGCATGTTACTTTTTAACAGCATTTGACTGCAAAAAAGTGAAATCTCGGCAAAGCGGGCTAGCCCGGTTAACAGAGACAGAGCCCATATGATTAGGCTCAAAATTGTCTTGAAAATGCTTTAAAGATTATTTCTCAAAGAACGCGCTGAAGCATCCGATGTTTTAAAAGACAGATTTCACAGCCGATTGACAGACAGGATGCAGAAGGCTCAAATATCTGTTGGCCGTGTGCAACCCAAGGTGTGGAGCACAGTTATTAGTGAAAATCTTCATTAGTATTCTCTGCCGAAAGTTTGGCAGCTGCAGTAATATGGTGATGATTTTACATGTTGCCATTTCATTCAATGAAACTGTTTGATCAAAATGTTTGATGGCATATAGGAAGCGATAAAAATATTGGGTTTCAAAATGGGCGAAGATAATAAAGTAGACTTCCTCTCTTGTCGTATCGCCTCGATTGTCACACTCCTGCTGAGTGTCATCATCAACCTGATTGTCATCGCCATAACAGCTTTGAAAATCAGAGAGGGCTTGAGAGGGAAGATGTTCTTTGTCAGCTTATGCCTTATTGACATGCTTTATGCAATAATAGTTATGTCAAGCATGATCAAGGTCTCCTCGTCAACAACCTACGAGGAGCATGTTTCTTCACTCCAAACGACAGCCATCATACATTCTATTTTGCTAACGGCATCATTTACACAAGAATCACATTTGTGGATGATAGCTTATGAGAGATTCTATGCAGCAAAACACCCACTGAGATACAGAGAAGTGTTCACAAAGAGAAGAAAATACAGGATGCTGATAGCAATTTGGCTACTGCCTCTTCTTCTTGGTACCACTGTGGTATTCATCAGTTACATGACAAGGTATCGTCGTTTGGTTCCAATAAGCTTGGCCTCTGCCTTGGTGGTTACTGCTGCTGCAATGGCCTACATGTATTTCAAGATATTTCAATTCAGGAGGCGGGTGCAAAATCAAGTTACTTCAGGTCCTGCTGGTTCTAACAGGAAAAAAGAAAACGAGAAACGCCTGGTGAAGATCAGCCTAAAAATTTTACTTACTTACATCATTTTAAATTTACCTATAACCATATTCCTATTTCTTGCCGATATTCAGCATACCCCATGTAATACAGCGCTTAATGTTGGCACAAACGTTTCAGTTGCCGTTGCAGCTCTAAACCTTGGTTGCGACCCGATGATATACCTTTCGCATTTGAGATGGCGCAGACTAAATCAAAAAGCGAGCTGTAGTGGCAATAGATTGGAAGCGGCAACCAACTAAACTTTATGATAAACGTCTTGGAACTAAATGTTTGAAATGCTTTTAGCTGGCGTGTATGTCATTAGTTAATATATTGCGAAAATGATTCTGTTAATACCTTATTGATGATCTACGAACTTTGCGATGTGGGGTGGGGGTGACTTTTTTCCGAATGGCATTTCTAGGTATATATCTGATTGACCTGCGGGAATTTGAAAATCTAACTGTCTAAAGAACCAATAAATAAAGTCCTTTCCACACTACACAAACTAAACGAGGTTCGCCCCGGGTTAAATTTAACCTCTGTCGAACCTTGTTTCTTCCAGACTTAAACTTCATACTTTGTAATGTGAACACAAAGTCAAGGCGAACCCAGGTTAGCTAATCCTACGCATGTGTAGTTAAATTACAACAACAACAACAAAACAACTACAACAAAACAAATATCCCACAAACATGATAAAGATGCCGAAGTTGCCGAAGTCACAGTTAATTGTATTTTGTCTAAAGTTCTTTTTCTGGCAATTCAGTTTAGTCAAAAAAAATATCAAATGCCATGGCAGTCAAGATTAAACAGAATATTGGCTGTATCAAGCAAACGGATTCGACAGTATAAGAGATTCAGATCACAGAGGAGGAAGAAATTTGAAACATGTCTTGAACAAAGTATCACTTTGGAATGCATTTAACCAGTAGACGTAGATAGAAAATACTAGTGTAAAACATGAAGTAGAATGGGACCCAATTGTCTTGCATCATTTTGAGGCATATGATTGTCATGCGTTACAAAAACTAACCCAAGTTCGTCCCAGGTTTGTTCTCACATTATAAAATCATAACAATAACCTGGTTTTGACCCAGGTCTAACCTATATCTGAAGATGGGTTTAACTAACCCAGGGCGAACCCACCTCTGGAGATAGGTTAAACTAACCCAGGGCAAACCGGGGTTAGTGTCCACACTGCAAAATCTAACCTTGGTTAGCGGAAACTTGGGGCGAACCCTGGTTAGTTTGTGTAGTGTGGACAGGGCTTAAGTCTTGCCTAAAGGTGATTGGTGGTTTATAATCGATTATCTATCATACATCCGTTATTTGCTATGGGAAAGACTGCTTTACATTTTAATATAGCAATACAACTTGAAGAAAGTAGCCCGCCTTTAAAAGTTATCATCGATGACTTCTGAAATATAATAATGCTATACAATATTATTGATAAATATATATAAAAGGAAGAATTTAAGATTTTCTGCAGTTTTCACTTGAACAATGTGCAGCCAAGTTCAATGGCAACACAGAGAGATTTGGCTATCACAAAAAATGGACAGTTCCAAATGGACAAGGTGTTTTCCAGAGTCCTTTGATTTCAAGTAAAGATTAGAGGCACGCAGAAATAAATTATTCGTTTGATTGATTCGTATTTTGGACAAATCGATAACTTCTTAATTTCTGAATATGGATATTACTTATTTTGGAATATTTCGTTGAATCTTAATCAATATCAAGAGGGAACAAGCCATCTAAGAAGATTGTATATCTGGCAATAAGAAAAGCCTAAATCCTAAGAAAAGAGCAAAGCGTGTTTTAGATTATCGTTCTCCTAGGAGAAAATCAGAGAGAGCACTGATATGAGATATAATTGTTGATACAACAGACATGAAAAGCCAGGAATTGCACAATGACAATTAACTTTTCTCCAATATAATTAGCTACTTTTATAATTGTCTAGAAAATATCCTTTTATAACAAAAATTAAAGATTTTTTTTAGAAAAAGGGGCCGAAAAATCTAATAATATCACAGAGGAATAAAAAGTTTCATGTTGAACTGGATACGGACGTCTCAGAGTTCTGTTAGCCTTGTGAAACCCGAGCTGTGCAGCACAGTTGTTAGTGAAAATTTAACTTCTACGCGTATGGCTGAAAATTGGACAGCTGCAGTATTATGTTAATGACGATATATATTGCAATTTCATGAAGCTGTTTGACGAGATAGTTCTGAAGCACATTAGACAGAAGGACGGGCCAGATAGTACGGAAAGTTGATCAGGTTTGTTTTTGATAAAATGCATTTCCTGGTCATGTAGATAACATTGTTTAATGAGTTTTACTGATAAGGGAGTCAAGACTTTTGATATAATATGCCTACATAAGCCTTACAAGAATATGCCTTACAAAATTTATATATATATAACTGACATATTCTTTTGCCATAAAATCATCTCACTAATAATTTTCTACTTGTGACAAAATGATGCACTTTTTTGTCTTTTTTTACCGTTTAGCTTTTTTCTATTAAAAGCACTCATAATCTATATCTTTTGTGTAGAATAATGTTAAGAAACAATGTAGTTGTCTGACAAAAATTAGAATAGACTCTCTTAATTCATTTTCAAATTATTTTGTTCCTTTATGTCACACTTATTGTGTGTTTTTGAAGCAATATTGTTAAAGTTTAAGATAAACTCTTATATATCTATATATATGATAGTGTAAGTCGTATATACGTTGATGAAAATTCAATTTTTAGTTGGAATACATATAGGAGGCGATAGCAAGATTGGTTTCAAAATGGGCGAAGATAATAAAGTAGACTTCTTCTCTTGTCGTATCGCCTCGATTGTCACACTTCTGCTGAGTGTCATCATCAACCTGATTGTCATCGCCATAACAGCTTTGAAAAACAGAGAGGGCTTGAGAGGGAAGATGTTCTTTGTCAGCTTATGCCTTATTGACATGCTTTATGCAATAATAGTTATGTCAAGCATGATCAAGGTCTCCTCGTCAACAACCTACGAGGAGCATGTTTCTTCACTCCAAACGACAGCCATCATACATTCTATTTTGCTAACGGCATCATTTACACAAGAATCACATTTGTGGATGATAGCTTATGAGAGATTCTATGCAGCAAAACACCCACTGAGATACAGAGAAGTGTTCACAAAGAGAAGAAAATACAGGATGCTGATAGCAATTTGGCTACTGCCTCTTCTTCTTGGTAGCACTGTAGTATTCATCAGTTACATTACAAGGTATCGTCGTTTGGTTCCAATAAGCTTGGCCTCTGCCTTGGTGGTTACTGCTGCTGCAATGGCCTACATGTATTTCAAGATATTTCAATTCAGGAGGCGGGTGCAAAATCAAGTTCCTTCAGGTCTTGCTGGTTCTAACAGGAAAAAAGAAAACGAGAAACGTCTAGTAAAGATCAGCCTTAAAATTGTACTTACGTACATCATCTTATATTTACCTCTAACCACATTCCTGTTTCTTGCCGATATTCAGAATACCCCATGTAATACAGCGCTCAATGTTGGCACAAATGTTTCAGTTGCCGTTGCAGCTCTAAACCTTGGTTGCGACCCGATGATATACTTTTCACATGTGAGATGGCGTAGAAAAAACCAAGGAGTGATCAGTAGTGGCAATAGACTGGAAGCGGTAACCAACTAAACTTTATGAGAAACTTTTTGATCGGAGCGTTTCAAGTGCTTGTAGCTGGTGATTGTGATGAACATATTAAAACGTCAAGCTATTGAAACTGTTTGCTCATCTTTGTAGTTTATGGTGTTGGGGTAGAACATTCTACTAAAAGGCAATTCGAGGTATGTAGCTGATTGCCTTGTAGGATTACGACAATTCACTGTTTGAAATTGTCAATGACAAATGCATTGTATGTAATGTACTTCTTAAGCATGCTTGTTATGTTGAAAATTACTTTCCTGCCTGATAAAATTTAATTTACATAAAGTAGGTAATGTATAGTTTTTGTTTCACTATTCAGTTTTTATAATTATGTAGTTTTGTTCATTGCAAGAGGATGCGAAATACAGAAAGGCGGCTGTCCCTGTTTGCCTGAGTAACTTTCTCTGCGCTCTCGATCGCCACCTGTGCAAATTTTGTTTTGAACGCAATGGTTACCAAAATAATTTCACAATTGATCAGCAGATGGATTGAATTTCTTGCTACCATAATTAATTATAGCAAAAGATGTTTATATTTCAAGAGATGTCGCATAGAATATGCCCAATTATGCTATTTTTACCTTTGCATGCTTTTCAAAGATATAACGAATTCTGAAAAGAAGCAGAAAATAGTTTCTATGTATCAGGGGCGGCGCCAAAAAATTCAAAGTGGAGGGAGGGGGGGGGGTCAAGTTGATATCATTGTTAGATTAAAAAAACAACATTTGAGAATCTCACTAAAATTTTTCACGATAATTCATGCCTATGATTCTATGGGGCACTCATTATGCGGTACATTGGAAGGGCCGACGAGAGGTTGTCAGAGGCCAAAGGTACATATGAAAGAAAAAGCTTCCTTGCGAGCTAAGCGAGCAGAAAACTTTTTGCAACCGCGCCTTTTAGATTAGCTTAATGTGCATTTCAGCTTTAAGTGACTCTTTGGAACCGTTTCAAACATTTAACCATTTTAAAGCATGCTTTTATTACGATTGATTAATTCCAGTCCTAAAATGAAACTAATCAATTACTTTCCGAGGAACTATAGACCTCGACTCTTTCTTGAGAAATTAAGCAACAAAAGGATTTATCAAACTATTCTTTTCTTCTATTCTCTTTCTTTGATTTTTTTGCTTTTATAAAACACTTTTGTGCAAAAAGGGGGGCTAAAGCCTTCCAGCGCCCCCTCTGGTGCCGCTCATAGGTATCGGGAGTTCCTTAAACCGGGAGTAGACGTTTTTAGGTATTTTTGCAGTACACGCCTAAAAATACCTTTGGTGGGCTTGTTTAGGCTATCGCCAGCCTCTGTGCATATTTTACTCCAAAAAACCAAGCTGATTCCAAGTATTTCTCTAGTTAGTCATCGAAAATCAAGATCTTTATTATCTTTCTACAATTTGGGTCCAAGAGATTGACTAAACTGGTATCAATTCACTTCCAGTTAGCGGCTGCATGACATCTTCGATTATATTATTTCACATTCTTATTTGTCTATTTCTAATCATATTCCATCTGGGTCTCCCAATAAAGCTCTGGGTCTTGCCAAGTCAATGCATTCATACGC